GAAGCCAAATTTGCCTCCAAGCCTATCCCGAAAGCTACTCCTGTTGTTCTACACGAATCCACCGGCGAAGAAATGTACATTGTCGAGAAACTGCTCAAGAAGCGCCAATTCAATCGCAGGTTGTAGTACTTGGTCAAGTGGCATGGACAGCCCGAAAGCAAAGCCACGTGGGAACTGATGAAAGACATCAAGCACGTTGTGCACTTCAAGCAACTCGTCCAAGACTTGGAGTCAAGGCGTTACAAGGTGTAGCAAGACGTCAGGGGGAGAATGTAGCGATGTGGCATGTGGGGGTAACTTCTTGCCACCACCTTGCCCGCACCCAGCTCCTAAGTACCTGGCTCCATGACGTACCCTAGCTAATGCTTGCCTGGGGATGTGTCTCAAGGGCAAGTATGGCTTAGAATCGCTAGCCTAGTGAAGTTCCCCAATGTCTCAACCGCACCCGCATCCATTGTATACAAAAGTGCATATTAGTGTAGAATTAGTGAAGTAGATTAAGAAGATCTCATAGTCATGAGGATTAAGAATATCTCATAGTCATGAGGATTAAGAAGATCTTTGTAGATCTTCAGTTAATTCATTGTGCATTTTGCCCTCAACTACACATGCTTCCTCCCGCAGTGGTACAATAACTGTTATTGCTACACTAACACACTTGTGCTCAAAAATTTCCATGGATCTTAAATCGCCCCGATCCGAATGTCCGCGAAATGACCCCAATGACAAAAAGTAGGATTTCTCTCACAAAACAATCGTAGTAATCATCACCCTATTATGACGCAGTTTCCTGAGCTGAGTCAATGGACGATGATCCAACCTTGCAGCATTAACCCCTGAGCGCGTAGGCCTCGTATGCGAGTCTCTTCACATCCCCAACACACATGCACACCTATGTACAGTGTACAGTACACACCAACATCTCAAGTACACCAACTGGACGCCCGCGCTACCGCAACGTGCGACTACACCTCGTCGTACAGCCCAAGTAGTTGTGGAAAACTGACAGTGAGTTGGATGTCCGTTTTCTGCCCAAGTCTTCGAAATTCTAACCAATGAAATCATCGCGGCTATTTGTTGGCGATTTTCACAATGGCTCACAATTGTTAAGCTTAACCGGAAAGCACAATAACGTTACAATTATTGAGGCACCGGATACATATGCAATATGATTGGTCCCAAGGCTTTTATTCAATACTTTCATTGGCTAATTCGGTCCGTCGATTACTGCCTCGATTTTACTTCGTCGATATATTGGCACCCACAGTCCATTTTGAAATCTAACAATCTATTACAGTACTTACTATAAACACAGTAACTTACAATCAACAGTGAAGAAAAAACATGACTATTCTTGCCATGTTACTGTAGTACTTCGAAGTATGTGATAAGCTCATCATCAATGATTGAGTCATACCACCATGTGCCTCCACATTCAAAAGCCAGGTCCGTCCCGTCACCAAAGTGGATGTGTTCCCTGATCCTTCCAGCGAATTCCGCTCGACAACAGGCATATTCGAAAAGTCACCATCACCTTCGTCCCCCGTTTCATTTTTCATTTCTCGATCATCATGGCAGCCTCCAAGTCCCATTCGTATCGCACCATCAACTACGCGACCCTCACGGACGATCAGATCGTGGCGTTCACCAAGCCCGACGGCAAACTAAACTATTTCAACTGCGTCGTGTGCCCGTTTGCGCAGCGCGTGCTGTGGGCGGCGTTGGAGGTGCAAGCCCCCATCGACACTGTCGTCGAACTCGACGTGTTCAACCTTCCCCCGTCTTACAGCCAACTCGTGAACCGTTACGGGGACATTCCGCATCTCATCCACGACGGCACCCATGTGTATGACTCGCCCCTCACCGTCAACTACTTGGACGCAACATTTGGCCGTGGTAAGCTGGGGCGTCGAGACACGCCCAAAATCGCAGCGTTGACCGACCTCCTAACACTCAAGACCACCCACATTCCGTTTTACGGTTACCTGAGTGGTCGTGACAAGGTATGGCAAGACAGTTTTGGGTTAACTTCTTTCTTGCCTGCATGTACAGTAGCCAAGTGTTGCTTGACCCATGTGTTTTCACTCAAGCGTTGTTGAATGTGTAACTAGACCGACGCGCCCCTTCGAGCCCTCTTGTCGGAGCTGGAGACGATCTATCGAGACCACGCCAAGGCCCATCGCGCGAACGGTCCGTTCCTTCTCGGCGCGAACGTGAGCACTGGCGACATCAACCTCATTCCGTTGCTCTTTCGCTTTGAAATTCTCTTCGCCCATTACAAAGCGTACACGTTGCTGCCTGAAAAGGACTTTCCACTGCTCAAGGCTGCGTTGGAGGCGGCCAAAGCCCTCCCTACGTTTCAACAAACGGTCCAAGACCCCTCGATTTACATCCAAGGCTACTCTGTGGTGGCGAACCAAGCTGCGTAGACTACACTTGACTCTTGGACCATAATTTGTATCCATATCTTAATATACTGTACTACGTACTGTAGTGCTCCTACTTGATACTTCTTTTCTCAAACTTAATTACTAAAGTTACGTAGTACAGTCCTCTTGGTGTGCATCGTAGACAAACTCAGTTGGAGTTCCTGACGAGTGCAGGATTATAATTTGGGAATTAACAACTTCTGCAAACGTTCAATTCCTTTGTGAAGTTTTGACAAAGACTCAATCAAATGTATACTATTAATCGAAGGCACCGAGGGTACTGGAGCAGCAATTGGGAAATCGTCATCAAACATACCGGTACTACACTAGTACTGGTATATCTTTTTCTATTATTGATTTTGATATCGTATCGTACCTATATTTAGAAAAAGAATATATCGCTTATATATCGAAATCGACGAAACACGATAGTATATCGATATCGAATGGATGCTTTCGATGTCATATCGATATCGCACGTGTATCTCGATATCATATCGATATCGAATAGAATGGGGCAATAAATATTGTTGCACGATACGATATTATCGAGAAATAACGATATACTTTTCCGCATCGCTGTAACAGGAGGCTGCGGGAAACCGCAAAAACCAGTTTGGCCTGGGCAAAACGCACATTACGTAACTGTAGTCAATTTGACAAGTTGACTTTCAAACGAAAATTGAATACTTTTGGCAGTTAACAAAAATGTAGAAAGGTGTTTATTGTGAATTCGCTATAAACTTCCAAAATTCGTCTGGTTTGTCGAATAAATATTGAATCACGCCGGAGTTCTGATTGGTTGAATATACTTGACCTTTCTGGAAGAGCCAATCAAATCCACTCGAAAATCGATTATCCAATAGCGTCGATTCGTGATTCGATTCGACGGCGAGATTCGTTCGACGAGGTCTGGATTCGTCTGAATTCGTATCGAATCCACAATACATTTTGTAAACTGACACGGTGATGCAATTTCCTGGTTGATTTTGACTCTATTTGAACGTATTATCATTTCATAATCTAGGAGCGTAATCTCAATGCTGCGCTCTCTTATACGAGCCAAAGCGATATGAAATTCAAGGAGGTTAGGTTGAAGATCGACGAAACCGACGAAACTTCAGTGTTTGTGGTGCGATTATACATTAACCAAAACGAAGCTCATGGTATCTCATTGCACTTGGCGAGAGGGGTATGGACAAAGTTTACACTTAAATTGGATTTTTTAGGTCGAAGTATTGAACTTTCAGTTTACAAAATGTAAACTGGGCACTTTATATTCATTTACAGTTAGTTACATTAAGACTTGCCCAACTTTTCAATCAAATGATATTACGTTTGGAGGGTTTTGTCCAGGCAAAACTGATTTTTGCGATTTCTCGCAGCCTCCAGGGATTAGGGTTAAATAAATTTACTTGGAAGTACTGCTATTTCCTAGCGCTTCAACATTGTCTGTCCACCACGCCATTGAACCACTCCACGAAGTACGTATGGTTGAACGTTCCATTGTAATCTTTCGGGTGATCCCTCGCCCCTCACCCTCGAATATTTCTAGGTTCGATTCGCCTGCCGCGCTGTCACCGCCGGCCATGCTCTCCATCGATGAAGCACGATCGTCTGCCCTTGTGTGCACCGTCATCGCTCGTATCGTAAAGGCTGTCTTTGTGGCGCGAGTTGTGGTGATGAATATAAGTTTCGTCTAAATAGACTACCGACGTGTTCGTAGATAGGATATCATGCGATGAATGTATATTCCCCGGCCTGCAGCATGCGCAATTGAGCCTCGGTAGGATGCGTGTCTGCGCCGCTTTCGTCTCTTAAAGCCAAGCTAGTCCAAGTACTGTTGTACTACTGTACAGCTCCACACATTGAGTCCCTTGAGAGTGAAATTCCGCCGCCTATGCGAGCTGCTGTCATGGTAAACGCGAAGCCAATGGCAATATGAATGTACGGTTAAAAAAGACACAATGCCGAACAAACGCGCGTCAAGGCCCTACATGAATGTTATAGTTGTGTTTATTCTAAACTAGAGCTACATGGAGAATGAATGCATCGACCAACCAAATAAATGCACAGAACAATCGGCCGATGGATTTAGCCAATCAGATTGCAGGAAACCATTATCAACATCAAATTAGTGTGTGACTTAAATTAGTGTGATACCAATCACCTTTTTACATACAAAATCCAGTACAAAGAATCCATCGATAGATTTGGCAATTCATCCCAAAAGTCCAAATTTTGGGTAAACGGACAATAGTGCTGGCGGGTAAAACCTATGGGTTTTTTTTGTCATCCCATATTTTTTGAACGACAACATATCGAATATTTTCAGTACATGTATATATTAATAGAATAATATGATTTACGTATTTTATTAATACTCCCACATGATACATTTCACTACACCAACTGAGCTTGTATTTCTCCAATGACAATCCTGCAACGCGTCAAAAGTCCAACAGAGCTTATCTACGATGCAACATGCTGAATCCTAGCCAAGTTTGAACAAGCAAGTATCAAGTATATTAAGACATGGATACAAATTATGCTCCAAGACTCAACTGTAGTCTACGAAGCTTGGTTCGCCACCACGGAGTAGGCTTGGATGTAAATCGAAGAGTCTTTGACCGTTTGTTGAAACGTAGGGAGGGCTTTGGCCGCCTCCAACGCAGCCTTGAGCAGTGGAAAGTCCTTTTCAGGCAGCAACGTGTACGCTTTGTAATGGGCGAGGAGAATTTCAAAGCGAAAGAGCCACGGAATGAGGTTGATGTCGCCAGTGCTCACGTTGGCGCCGAGAAGGAACGGACCGTTCGCGCGATGGGCCTTGGCGTGGTCTCGGTAGATCGTCTCCAGCTCCGACAAGAGGGCACGAACGGGTGCGTCGGTCTATTGCACATTCAACAATGCTTAAAAGTGAAAACACATGGGTCAAGCAACACTTGTGTAACAGTGTACTTGCTGGCAAGAAAGGAGCTAACACAGTATGTACCTCGTTTTGATGACTGAGGTAGTTGTACAATGGAACGTATGAAGTCTTGAGTGTGAGGAGGTCGGTCAACGCTGCGAGTTTGGGCGTGTCTCGACGCCCCAGCTTACCACGGCCAAATGTTACGTCCAAGTAGTTGACGATGAGGGCCGAGTCGTACACATGGGTGCCATCGTGAATGAGATGCGGCACGTTCCCGTAACGGTTCACGAGTTGGCTGTAGGACGGGGGAAGGTTGAACACGTTGAGTTCGATGACGGTGTCGATGGGGGCCTGCACCTCCAACGCCGCCCACAACGCGCGCTGCGCAAACGGACATACGACGCAGTTGAAATAGTTCAGTTTGCCGTCGGGCTTGGTGAGCGCCACGATCTGATCGTCCGTGAGGGTCGCGTAGTTGATGGAGCGATACGAATGGGTCTTGGAGGCAGCCATGATGGACGAGAAATGGAGAATGAAACGGGGGACGAAGGCGATGGTGCCTTTTCGAATGTGCCTGTTGTCCAGCGGAATTCGCTGGAAGGTCAGGGAGACACTTCCACTTTGGTGACGGGACGGACCTGGCTTTTGAATGTGGGGGCACATGGTGCAATGACTCACTGTCAATCATTGATGATCCGAATCACAATAACATGGCAAGATTAATACTACGTAATCACGTTTTTTTCTTCGCTGTTGATATTGTACAGTACTACATACTACTAGTACCAGTATTAATAGTATACGAAGTATTAAAACTATTATATTAATACTTCGAAGTATTACGTAGTAACTTATTATTAATAGTAATAGTTATATAGATACTACTATTAATATGCTGCCCACATACTGTTAACAGTAAAAGCACCCCATTTCCCATCGTCCAATCAGCTCTGTGATGTACTAAACCCAGTCGGCCCTCGCTGAGGAATGTCTTAAAAATGATAATCCAAACTCAATTAACCAGGGGGCTCAGATACTCCTATTTGAATTTCACTTGCAATTATTATGCTGTGTCATGTCCCCCCTCCCCCTTTTATTCCTTTTATTGTGGGACGGATGGAGTCAGCAAGAAATACCGGATAACGTATCCGGTGTCGCCGACCTTTCGCGGCCGAATGAAATCGAAAGATCGCACGAAGTAAGCAGCATCCACGATGGGGAACCAGACGTCGACATACAACCCGGCGCGGGAATCGGCCGAGCTCGGACGCCGTCCAAATGACCATGAACTCATCCTTCTCTTCAAGATGCAGACCAAGTTTCTTGTGCGACTGGTCGAATGTCCCTACGTACGTACGTCGATATCGTTCCACATGTATTTCATCTTGTTGACTTCACCATGTGCATGATGCAGCACGTGAGTCTTCTCGAGCGATACTGGGACAGCATGTACGGTAATCACGCCAGCAACAACCATGCGATACCGTTCCAGCGGAAGGGATCGGGATGGCGCGACATTGGGTTCTCCACGGACAACCCCGCCGACGACATTCGCGCGACGGGCGAGCTCGGCCTCGAGTGTCTCGGTGCGACGATACTCGTATCCGTCGAACATGTCAACCCATGTTGATCCATATTGCATAGTGTTCTTTGTGGAAAACTACCCCGGGGAAGCCCGCATGATGAACAATCGCCAGCTTGGTTATCCGTTTGTCAAGGCCGCGGTCGCCGTCACACGCGTACTCATGGAGATCTTCCACGTCGTCCAATTAGATGGCTCCCGCGTACGTTCATTGCTTCACACGGTCTTCTCGTTTGCGAGCAACACTGCACCTTCTCAACGTAACCCCCCCTCCATAGGGGTCATACCCTGTCCGCGACACGCTGTACTGGCAGCTTCTAGACTCGGACTTGAGTCTGTTTCGGTTGTTTGCGTTCTGCTTTCTCATGTTCGACGAACTCTTCTGCGACCATGTTGCCACGACAAAGGCCTTGCCATTAACCATGTGCCCGCCCTCCACGGTCGCAAAGCTGGCGGACGTCGGCAAGGAAAAGCTCCTCGCGACGCTACGACGGGCTCCAGCACACCTCACCGATCTCACTGTATGTCAACTTGGTCAAAAGTATATGTTTATGAAAGCAAACTACTCGTTGCATCGATTTCTAGAGTTTATATTCCATATATAATGTCCATCACACTAATACATGGCATCCATACAATGATATCCAAGGATTTGGGTTGGGTATGAGGATGCATTTCGCCAAGTTGATATGCTTAACATATATTACTTTAGTATTGTGCTTTCGAGTGAAATTTCATTGTGTTGTGGTTTCTCGTTGGAATTTAAATCGATTTGATTGGCTACCTCAGATGAGCTCAAAATTATTAGCCAATCAAAACCTTCTCAATGAAATTCAACCAATCAGATCGATTGTGGATCCGTTTGGTCGGCGCGATTCGATTGCACCCCCAAAATATTGTATCAAATCGACAATATTACCATTGGTATTTTTTGTGAAAGCAAAAACTAGTTGATCGATTTTTCTAGTGTATATTTTCCTTGTTTCGATGATACTAAACACATTGTGAAGGATGAAAAAAAAAATAAAAAATATATATATCGTGTTTGGAGTTGCGTAGGATCTATGCGCCAACGGCCAAGTGCTGCGCCGTACCAACTTCAAGGTCGACGTCGACGACCGCAAACCTAAACCTTCTCCGTGGACCAAGTCGCCGTCGAAAGACCCCCAGCCCTTGATGACGTCATCACATTGCAGTTTATTCGACGGGCTCGTTCAAAAGTAGTCACCAAGTGTGGGGTGTTTGCTACAGCTGCAGCGCAATCGTATGGCCGAGGGCTGTGGGTGGTTGTCTGCTGTACTGCGCCTGCCAGGAGTGTGTAGTTATGTAAAGTACAATCATATCATCCAAAAATGATATATATAAATATATATAGTGGGACAAAAGTACATGGGACAGACCCCGCACTGGACATATATATCATTTTCAATCGTTTGTACGAACTTGAAGTTGAGATTTAGATACAGATGGTTGATGCGAACGTACTTGACGTTGAAGTTGGATGAGCGGGGTGGCCGTTGCACAGTCCAGTAGCAGATGCTGCAATGCCACACATAATGTATCTCGACTGGTTTGGGTATGCACTTGACAATCCAATGATCGCTCGCTCCCGATGATAGAAAAGCACTAAAAGTAACTCGTCGACTTTATCAGTGTGTGTGTTATGATTGCGTTTACATTCTAAACTGGAGCAACATGGAGAATGAATGAATCGACACAACCAAATGTATTTATTGCACAAGAATTGGCAGAAGGGTTATTTAGCCAATCGGATGGCAGGAATCCATAAGCAACATTAAATTAGTACGTGACTTCAATTAGTGTGTGATACGAATCACTACAGGACCCTTTTTACATACAAACTTCGGGACGAAGAATTGATCAATAGATTTGGCGCTTCAGCACAAAAGTTCAATTGTTGGGTAAAAGGACAATATTGTACAGGGGATGTGTGTTGAGACGACGACATGACTTGACTGTGAATGTAATACGACCCGTGGCATACAATTGCTAGTATGTAGCACAAGTATGGTCAATTCGATTCGAAATTGCAGAGTTAGTTCTCAATCGAATAACCAGCAGCACCAAATCGGCAGAGAATCGATGGACCAATCAGAACCCAGAATACAAATCAAATAGCCAATCAAATGCTCTCTCTTCAACAATAGTAGTGTGTGATTGAAGTTAGTGTGCACGGCGATGCTCTTCACATACAAAATCCAGTACAAAGAATCAATCGATGGATTTGATGGATCAACCCAACACTCCAATTTTGCACGAAGGACAACAACATACCTCGACAATCGGCGGTTCATCTGTCAGTGAAAATCCGTGACTGTTGATACCCTTGCGAATTTCCACCACGTCGACGAGCGCTACTCCTTTGGCCGACGACACTACGGTAAAAAATATATAAAATATACAATACTAGTATAATATAGTGAAAACGAACGGAATGAGAGAAATTTCACCATCTGTATAAATGTATTACGTTTGGAATCGCCACAGTGCAATTTTTGCGTGGTCAAGTCGACCCAAAGGATGTGGTCCACAGCGGACGCTTTGTTGGTGTGTCGAAGGACATGCACGCTAATATGGAAATACGAAATGAAGGATATATATATATATTTATTGAATATTTTTACCCCGCGAGGAAACAAGCGTAAATGTTTTCGATTTTAGCGGGGGGAAGTGGCACCGACGACAAAAGCGACGGTGTCTGCCATTGTCGCGACGCTAGCTATAGAATCATGCCGTTAGATTCTGTTTTGTTTTTCGTGGATGTAATTAATTGAAGGATTTTGGACCATGCAGTCGGGGCCTTGCAACACATCCACGAGGACGCGAAATCGACTCACGGCTTGATCGCGTGCATTGCGAGTGGGCATTTCCAAGCTTAGCGTGCGCTCGGACCCAATGATCGAAAAACACTATCAAATATAGCCATCATACAGCAATACCACCGTAAAACAAAACAGACCTTGTCGGCAATCGGGTACAGCGGAGACTGCCCAAACGAATACGTGGCAAGTCCAGGGCGCACCTCGGCAATATCTGCCAAATACAAGCCCTTTTCGGTGGGCAAGAGCCGCGTGGACGCGCGAAAAAGGTAGCGCACACTGCTGGTCATTGGCTTCCCGACCACGAGACGTTCACAATCTATCCACAGATGTACCACCCGTAAAACAAAAATAGACCTTACACGCATACAGTCTGCACTACCACAAATAACAGACCTGGACTTAAACAAAGGATGCGCCTGGACTTGACTTTGCCTGCGTAATTGTACTTGAACACGGTCAAGCCTTCATGCAATAGCTTCCAAAACAGGATCAAATCTCGATCCAATTGCTTGATGAGCCCCAGCAACGTTTGCTTCACACAAGCAACAATGTTAGCAACGAGTAACACCCCACGATTGTACCGTCAGTCGATGAAACGGAACGTTGCGGCGGCATCGATACCACTTTTGAATGTACATGGCGGCATTGTCCTTTGCAATCGCGTCTTCATGAGCCGACACGATCGCCGCCATTTGTTTGTTTGGTTTCCAGGCGATACTATGCTCACATTTGTCATGTACCCAGCCCCGAAAATTCGACTTGTACCTCATACGTGGCGGCCGTGGGAGCTTGGAATGGCTGCTCAGGACTCTACTCGTCCTTGTTTGTAAGTTATGGCGAGTCAATCATATACATGTTTATCACCGCAAGTCCACACCGTCGACGACAACCACGGAATCCTACAGCATCATCTTGTCAGTTTTCATTGTAATAACGAAACTGTTGAGAGCAAAGTCAATGGAGCTGTGGATTGTGGTCGTACATCTTGACTACGAGATCGACCAGGGCGATGGCTCCCCAGCTTTGGAATCGCGAGCCGGGATATGATGGCTTCATTGAGCGAATGCTGGCTCTGCAGTCTCGTGTTGCTCATCGTCGATGACGTCGGCCACAACGGAATCAAATGCCATTGGTGAGGGGTATCTAAAAATAGACACTCGATAACACATGAATATGAATGGGATTGGCTGCATTTTCGTCGAATAAATTGGTGCATAATGGGTACCAAATGGTACAGTACTACGGTATCATTAATGTCGTCGGTACTAACTGTAAGTAAAACGATACAGTACTTGTGGTACTCCAGAGAAGTACAATATAAGCGTGTCATTATATACTCGGCTGCACCACTAATTTCATTTGAACAATTTATTTAAATATTCTAATTGAATAATTAATGTGAGCTGACATTGAATTATTTGATTATATTCACGTTTTATATGGTGCAGATCAACGACACATGTCAATGTTCTGGGATGTGAAACATAAAGGGTCAAAGAGGTGAACGACCATCCCGTGATGTGAGTCTATCTGTTTAGTAGTTATTCCTTCGGACGTCCTCTACTACTGCAGTAATAACTTCACCTCTGACCGAAGTATTGAATGCTTTTGCTGGTGTATTATCAAATCCGATCGAACTCGGACATTTTGTCCGAGTTGAGTCCAAAATCAATTTGACAAATATATGTTTGTTTGTCCTAGCCAATCAAAGTGCACGAACGAGAAATTGAGATGCCAATCATCGATTTTCATAATTTAACCCCCTTTTGGTAATCGTAACCATAGATTGAATACGCTTAAAAATGCGAAAAGAATAACTTTACCAATGTGAAACAGCACATGTATGCATAATTTGGTTATCGTTTAAAGGTCAAATGTGTACGATACGATGGCAGGACGAACAACATCTTCTTCTTGTTCTTCGCCTCCTTCTTTGCCATCTCCATCCTCGACGTACGCCGACGCCGTTTTCTTATCCGAGGGTGTGCCACGTAATCCTGCAACCACATGACCATGTTCAAAGGTTGACCTGTATATGTATCCACAAATATGCTGCTTTTTGAAATATATATAGTTATATATTACCTGCAAAGTACGTGATGGTTTTGGTGGGGTTGGTGCCCTTGTCGTGGCCGGTTTGGGTCGTGCCGTCTGTGGGCAACCACACTTGTTGCTCGACGTGTGCGCGAAAGTTGCTAAGCGTCGTTTGCGCTGACACGGTCTTGTACTAACATACGAAATAAAATCCATCAAAACGAACAAAAATAATTCTTCCAAAATAATATTTATCAAAAATAACTTTATTCTTCCATCCTCAATAACTCTGTCCGAAACCATCATCAAACAATGGCATTACGAACTCATGCCAGCATTTGAAGCCATTTCATGTAAAAAGTGCCAATACGAACGCATCAATGTATGTATATACATACAGTACTATTAAGTGGCTACTAGTACTAGTACTGTACTAGTAGCCACTAAATACCTACTATTCCAGGACTAATACAAGCATAAAGTACTGACGAACGTATCACCTACTGAATATAAAATACCTACTCTCATACAAGCACACAACACACAGTAATTACTAACAAAATCAACGACTACCAGTAAATACTAAATACTTGCTTATCACTGTACTCGTCCAAGCATACAGTATGTATGTATGACAGTACGTACTCATAAAGCATACTATTACTAGTACAATGCCCAGCCAGTATAACTAGTACGAGGAAGTCCAGTACGTACGACTCATATCATCATATGTACTAGTGTACAAGAGTAATATACTCGGCATGCATGCCAATATTTCCCAGCAATTAGGTTGAACCAACGTCAAATAGCACACCCAACACGATGCAAGTACACAAGTAAATATATCAGTTAGCCACTCGAAAATCTGATTGCATCAACGATACCAGTATATATAGATATATCACGTGACGACGTACGTTGCGAAGGTTGGCAATCTTGACCGCACGCCGGCGTAAACTCCATTCATTCCATTCGTAGTTGACGTCGAGGTTTTTCTCTACAAAGTGCACGGGGGTGGACGTGCCGGCGTCGACTTTTTGAACGGCGTGGGGGGCGAGCAACGGATGGACGTGCGTGCGGTTGTTGGTGAGTTTCATCAGCGACGCCATGGACGTTTCGGGGAAACTTTCCTAGCCACGCACATTCATATGATCCAGCCATTATATACATATATATATACATATATATATATATATTGTGTTTCGTCGGCATGGGCATTGGTATTTTTAAAAATTACATCCAAACATCATTGGGAGGAAAGGGAAGAGAGACCTACTGTACGAATGTACCTGCAAGCGCAAGAGGTAAATGAGCTCTGGCTTGCGCACCACGATGTCGTGCACAGCCCCCACGAACCTTCCCGGATCAGCCATAAACTCTTCCAACGCACGCTCGTTGACAAACACATGGTACGCATTCCGAAACTGAATCACCCCTAGCGACGGATCGCCAGGCAGCAACAGACCTATGCAATTGAGGTCGTTGTGATGTTGCGAATATATATATATATTATACATGTATATATGGATATATATATATGGATATTATTGTCCCAAAAGGAAAACCAGACCTTCTTAACACCTACTAGTAGTGATGCATGTAAAAAAACGTGAAGGATGGCAAAAATACCCCTTCGTCATATAGTAACAGATACATACTTCATCCCCTTGAATATGATGTATAATCAATCGAATTGGAGTACTCTAAAGTCCCAGAACGTCCAATGAGCCAATCACCCACATACATGCATGGCAAGGAAGCACAAGGCGATGGACTTATGTATATAATACTACCTTTTTCAAACTTATAAAGGCGTTCAGAATTGAAGCCAGTAGCAATATATATATACTAGTTTATAGTAATATTAATATATGCTTTGAATTTAAAGCGACATTCAACATTGAAGTCAGGAGCATGGCATATTATTATGAAGCGTTTAGAACATTCCCAGAAATTGAAAACCATCGGCCAATATATATAATGTGTAATAAATATATGTAATATTTATATATATATCAACTGGTTTAATTGACCTACCGCCACGACAAACGAGCGTCCAGGGGCAGTACCCTTGGTATTCCAGAGGCAATTGCATAAACTCGGGCGTCGAGTCCACCGACATACGCACGGGCACTTCGTCGTTGGCGCCACTGGGACCTCCTCCGTTGTCATCACCTTCTCGATTAAAAAACGAACTTGTTTTTAGCACGAAGTATTAGTTATAATATGCGGAGAATACCCGAGTGCTTGGCGCCGCCAGCGGCCGACGATGGTGACGTGGCAGCATGTTGTTTGGGCTGATTGTCCAGCTGGTCCGTCGTGGAGTTCTCAAACCAGTGGTCTTGAGCTGGCATCCCTGCTTTCTTGGCTTTTAAAATCCATTCCGATTGCGATGACAACGTCCTCGTGAACGAATCTTTGAACTGCATCAGCCTATCGGTACAAATATATTTATATACCTAGATCGCATATTATGTACAAGTACACTACTATCAGTTAAGAACGTTGTCCACACACACAAAACTCCTCCCACAAGCTACAACATGGCTCGCAAAATCACACATCGAGGTAACTAATATACATGTGGACATATCAATCGCATCAGAGTTGCAACAAAGTCAAAACATGAAAAAGTTAAGAGGACGCAATCAAACAATGAAATATATATATATATATATATATATATATACATATATATATATATATCATTCGCATGATATAGGCTCAACGCTTCAAAATCCCACCCTGTGGATGCATCACATACAGTTTCATCAACGTCCAAAGATTGAACGACGACCTCCAGGAGCAATAAAAGGTATATATATGCCAACCGACACGCAACTATCAATACATATATATATATATCACTATACGATAGGTATAGCTGTATAGATAGATAGCTAACTACCCAACGTCAAGGCCACCTGTAGATTAGTATATATCACAACGCAAAACACGATATTCGAAGAAAGTAACGTACGCTTTGATGGATCGCGACCGGGCGAGAAGCAACTGATGCTCGGCATCCAGATCCTCCCACGCCTTGGAAAGCGCTTCAAAAACAGGGTACACTTGTCCTTTGGGCAGTGAAGTGCGCGCACCCACAAGTGCCTTGAGCGTGTTGAGTTCGTTGTCGTATGTGGTCATGATGCGGCTGATCTTGTCCACGGACACGTCAATGTCTTCGTACAAACTTTGCAAATACGACAAAAATTGGCGCTTGTTGTTGAGTTCTTGTTGCCATCTAAACAAAATATGCAAACATATCTATAAGTTCAATTGAATGTTCCAGGCGTACTATTTGACCGCAACCAACGAAACGTATATATATATAGCAACCCCCAAAATCAATATCTCTACTTGTCTTGTTCACTACTGAATACAAATATACACAAATGTTGTGGATTGATTTGGTACAAGTTGCCAGATCCAAATCGAACACCATTGGCTAATCCAGAGAAAAGACAAGCATATTCAGCCAACCAGAAGTTCCAGCGAGATTTTCCATGTTGACTACTATAAAACCACCCGAATTTTCGAAGTTTATAGCGAATTCACAATATTACAATCACAGCGATTCGATATAGTATGCTTCTGGATATATACTGTCTATGAATAAGAGTATTGCGGTAGTAGTTTATATATATATATATATATATATATATATATACCGATGGATGCGATCGGGGGTGATGTTGTCGTGAACGTTGTAGTGGTGGATATGCAGCAGCACTTCAGTGTACTCGGTCGAGACTTGGTTTGCTTCGTCGACTTCTTCCGCCGCGAGCTTGGACACATTTGTTACGTTGTTTCGAATCGTGTCTAACCGGTCGTTGTTAGGTACTAAGTACCTAGTACTGAAGAGTAATGAGTAGTGAAGTACCCAACGTCAGCGTAATGCCGGCGCCACCTTTGCCGATTTCCTTATTGAACAGCCGAATACCCCCCACGATACTCGACAATTCCTTGAGTTGGAACTTCTTGTCCTCTGGTGTCATCGACACAAACGACTTCAAGCTACCGCGAGTTTAGTGATCGAGTGCACACTCAAAGCAGTGTAAAATAGGTAGGAAATGGGCAAGTTAGGTAGTACTTACTAGTAATACAATTCGTCAACGAATTATGTAGTACAAAATATGTCGAAGATTAGGTAGTAGGTAGTGAAGTACCCAATGCGGGGAAACACACTTTCCATAGTACATAGTATGTCGAAGAAATCAGGTAGAAGTACACATTAAGTAGTAGGTACTGTAGTGATGTACCCAATGCGGGGAAACACACTTTCCAACGCCGCCGCTACTTCGCGCTCGACATTGCGGTCACCAGTCTTTTCAGCATCGGCATGGACCATCAGTAGCGTGAAGATCTACCCTCAATATTGTCAAGAATGCGGTATATATATATATATATTCTTTTTCTATTTGATATACATTTATACAAATATATTTTTGCTATTCTATACTAGTATATAGTTTTGCTATTCGAAGTTGATTCCGGGGTCATCGTCTCAATAAGTACCTGTCGATACAACGTCGTGAGGGTATCGAAGTCGCCCGTACCATTTGGCTGCAATAGTGAAATCGACCGATGGAGCGCGGCCACCTTCTTTGCCTTGGCCGCGCGTGCCTTATCGACTTCTTCCTACATATATATATATATATATATATATATATATATATATTCAAATAGTCTTGTTTTTCAGAGAGTACGATATATATATACATAAATTGTACTTCGTGTTTGACATAACACAGGTCGAAATCGAGCTGCATTTTGATGGTTTCGAGCGACGGACTGTCCTTTTGCAGCAAGGTCGTGACGCTAGCCTGCGTCAATGCCGCCAACCCGTCGGCATCGACGTCGCCATCCAAACAAAAGCGATTCGCGTCGTCTTGAACTACCTACACGATTGCATGAATATGGGTTAATATGGACATTCGTGCGAATAGGAGGAGCATAGGATGGAAGGACGATATGGTGGTTCCCATCAAGAAGTGACACTTGTATAAATCGCAGCCACATGCGATAACGTTATAAATGTACTTGTACGTACTGTGCGACAGACAAACGCAGCCAAAGTTTCCGATACGTCGACGCCTTCGTACTTGCATCGCGCGATCACATCGGCCACGAGCTTGGGAATCCGTTCCATTCTGGTTACCCTCGACACGACCCACCAAGCACAATGTGGCACGGCCGTTGGGACTTGGAATACACGTTGAAACTGCTGGAGTTACACATAGCGGTTACACTTGACCGTTTCAGATTTCCCTCCCCAATGCTCAATGGGTCCCTTTGTTCACTCGAGTACAAATTTTCAATGCAGGCAATGAAGTGAAGGGCCATGCACAAGACATCCGCTTTCCACGGGGCGAGGTAGACGACACGGAGGAAATCGTTCTCCAATAATGTACATATTGGAGTATACACAAAAGTTTGGTCATTGTTGCAAATCTATGGCGAATCGACTCCAGAGACAAGGGACTTAACGGTGTATTGCGAGCATAGGGGATCGCAGCCTTATACATCGAAAAGGAAGATCAGGGGGTACTGAGCAACAGAGAGTAGTAATAAGGAGCGAAAACGTCATCCAAATCTAGTACAGGGAACTTCAGAATGCAAGGCCTACGGAAGAAAGCAAACGTTGCACTCCTAAATTGTACTACGTAGTACTTCGAAGTGTATTTCAAGTTATTTAGTCGCGGGTACTGTATTGGTTGTTGGTTGTGAAAAATGATTCATGCACGGCATAGTCGCGACAGCTTCAAAACCTCTCTAGTAATGTTGAGGCGAAGCTTGCATACTTCGTTTTAGCGGTGAAAACGAAGTGACATATACTTATTTTTATTGTCACGATGCACCGGTAAACATGTGGTCATCCTATTAGAATAGAACGATCAAATCCTATAAAACTGACGACTGCATTTCAATTTCTTTTTGACGGTATTCGAAGGGCGCGGGCAGCTACTTGCGCGAGCACTCGCTCAACGTCGTCCAGCCGTTGCATCGTATCTGTCAGTTCATGGGTTGACAACAGCGCCGCCTCCTCCTGTCCATTCGTTTTTTAAAACCACTGAACCAAGAGTATACTACATAGTACTTACGCCCACTTCGGGTGCTGCTTTGAGTCGCTTCCTTTGCTTGCGGCGGGGCTGTTTCTTCTTGCGCTGTTTCATCGCAGCCACACGCTCCTAGTTGTAACCCACATGAGGTACACTTACTACCTACTGCAGTGGACACTGCTTTAGACAGTGGAGTTATTCCGACTTTGGTGTGGGTCTGGATTGTGTGGATGTCCTGGGCTTGGGCTTGGAGCCGCGAGAGCAGTTGGTTTTGTTCGAGCTGGGATTTGGCCACCGCCGCCGCTTTTTCGCGTGCGAGCTGCTGTTTCTTTCGGGCGAGCCATGTGTGATACTGTGCGTCGCTGTCCGCTTGCCGCCTTGCTTTGTCGACCTCCAAACATGATAAAGGCGGCTGGTTTTTCTCTAGTCGTTTTTGGAGTTGCTGTTTGTGTCGATGCCATTCTCGGACCTTGGCTTCATTCGTTGTGAGCACTGGCAATAATGCCGAATCGTCCGCTTCTTCCTGGGGAACTAGAGGTGGCAAATACGGGCGGTTGCCTTCTTCAGGGGTGGCGTGGAGGTTGTGGTGAACGGGGTCCGACAATAAGTTGCCCTCGTCGACAACTTCCATATTGGGAGGTATCTCCCCCCACGACAGTAGAACCGGACAAGTGCTATCGGGTGCATCGTGGACATTGCTGTCTACGGGTGGTGATGACGACATGACGTGTTCAGGCAATTGAGGGAATGTGGTTGGGATTGGGTTATGACGTTGTGCTTTGTGTGGCAGTAGCTCGGTTTGAAAGAGTTGAATAGTGCTGGTGGTGATTGGAGGTATCGATGGCAAGCAATGCGATTTCTTTGGAATGTTGGATCGAGTGGAGTGGTGTGGAATTGGTTTACGACGGGGTTTTCGCATCGGAGCGGACGCTTTGGCCTTGTGATATTTCTGAACGGGATGTCCTCGTTGTAGACATACTGTGTCGCCTGGCGGGTCGTCATTGCTAACAAACTCTGGCGGAGTAACGTCGTTGGCCGATTGTGTGATTTGCATCTGCACTGGGAGGAGGAACTCGTCATCGTCTTCGTCATCGGCTATAGCCCAAGGGTCGTCGGTAGCATCGGAGGTCTGTTCATTTAAGCATTGTGGGCCGACGGAAGGTTGGCTGGGAGAACAGGTAGTAGATGAATGTTGATATTGCAAGTTGTGTGAAGCTTGGGGGCTGCCAATGTTCTCCTCTGCTGTATTGGACAGTGTCACAGGTGATGGTAAATACACTTTTTCCACTGGATGCAGCACTGGGACTTCGTGGACAGCACTGGATTGTATGATAGATTGGCCGTCGTTGGTTGGTTCACCATCGTGCATTGGCACCGAATTGAAGGGCGAGTCAACTTGTAAAGCGGATAAAATGTATAACGGTCGGGGGAAATCGCTTGATACAGCTGTGTGCTCGAGTGGATTGGTGTGGCCGCTGGTTTGAGTAGCCTCCACGGCTTCCTGCGGCGCAATCATCATATATCGTTTATGAAACCGTCGTAACTGGTAGTACTACTCAACACCAGTTTGTCACCAGTTACTTCAAAAGTGACCCAGTACTCGTAGGGTATACTGTAATGACAGTGTATATGGAGCGACAAGTGATCGAGCGATGCAACGTCTGTCAGAAGTCCTACAAGCATGTCACTGTCAGCACCATCTGGCGTTCGTGTGCCACACAGAGAGCTACTGTACGTACACAGTTATACATTGACAAGTTCACGATAACGTAATTGTGCAGGATTGTCGTCTAGGATATCAATACTACGAAGTAACTGGTGCTTGAGAGTTGTTCTGACCACCTGTCGCCAACTGCGAGCGACTCTTGAGTGGTTACTTTAGCTATCAGCGTATAGTTTAGTCGTGGATGGGGATGCGAGCCTCCTCCATGTTAGAGTTAAACGTTAAGAGTTGTAGCCAGCCATACATGCTGGGAGCTGAATTGTCGCGCATTGCAACACAAATAAACGGAGGGGGAGGTCGAATTCACAATGTATGTTCACGCAGTACATAGTTGCTTCACAAGTTTCGCCGGTGACATTACTACACCTCCTCCTCCTGGCGGGTGTAGCACCGAGTCTGTAAACGTCACAAAAGGTAAAACAAAGAAGCAAATTCATGAATATATGCCACAGGCTGCTACATCGTGGCCAACTCGTCCACAAAAGTTCCAAACTGGTACTCATCCAGCTCCAGTGCAGTTTTGATCTTGTTGGGACACACTTGTGGAGGGGCTGCATCCACGGGTCGGCAGGACTCGAGGTCGCCCAGGATCACTCTCTTGTCTTCCAGGAGGACAAACACATTGGCCGCCTGCACATTGCAATGCGCCAGTCCCAAGCTGTGGAGTTCGTTCAGGGCACTTCGCACTTGAGCTTTGACCGTATCTCGCGAGACTAGGTCTTCAGACAACGCAGTTTTCAGCGTCTGTCCAATAGACGTAATGGTCACCGAAGTGTAATGACATCGTCCCCGTTCGACATGCTGCAACGGGGCTCTGTAGATGCGATTCATCACGGCCATGTCGATTATATCATCGTGTTGGAACTGCTTTACCAACCCAGATTTGACCCACGTGAGGTAATGACCATGATTCCGCGTCACGGTTCGTATGCCGGGAACGAGATGCATGGTAGTATGGGGCTTTGGAATGGACCCCACCCACTTTAAAACCTTGAACACATCCACTACAAATTGGTGGCGCCCGTCGAGATTCGACACATGATATGTCTTTAACTGTCGCGTCGAGTACGATTGCAAAGCACAATTGTACGTCAATTGGTGCAATTGGATGATGGTGGAGCTAGTGGTCCACGCTGGAATCGAGGTCAACCCATCGGGAAAGGTGCAGTAGGCAGCGGGGCCCAGCTTGTATGTCAGCGCATTCGTCGCAGTGGTCATTTCGCCCCACGAAGCCCTTGTCACACACTTGCCCACCATCGCATTTTGCTTGACAACGACCGCTTCCATCTCTTGTTCACTCGGACTGTCAGAATCGTGGCACTGGTCTCGATGCACGACGCACTGACATAAAAACACAAACAGGTTGAGCCAGTTCGTGTCGACGGTGGCGACTTCCACTTGACTGTGCTCGAACATCGTATGCTGTAGCACCACGTCCACCGCAACGCCGTACTCTGCTGTTCCTTCCACGAATGAGTCGGGGAAGAGGGAAACATACCGGGGGGTCGTAATCGGAATCTTGAAGCCAAGGGGTTGCTTCATCGCCTCCGTGAACTCCATGGATGGAAGGGGGTTTTGCTGCAAGAGGTCCGAGATTGAGATTTCCATCGGACGACAGCTAGGGGGCAAAGGGGGAGGTGGGGGGTCAGGACGCTTGACCAAAATATGCACCTTCTCAGGGGTTAATTCCGCATCAGTGTCATTGAAACAGTTGGAGACCAATGACATTGTGGTCAGTTTCGTTGTAGATCCTGCAAAATCGCTCAACTGCATTGTCGACATGTCGGCAACAGGCCGGCCATGGAAGTGCCAGTGCCGTTGGTCGTTCAACGTCAGACCTTCCACGCGGTAGAGCTGCATCTGATGGGCTGGGAACTGGTACCTGTTCTTGGCCTTGATTTCGGCTTTGAGGTGAGCCACGGTGTTGTTCCCTGCTACCTTGACGGAGAAAGCTGCTTCTTCGCCGACAACGACGCACCACAATGCAAGCATTTTCTGAAATGGCCGTGAATTACATTTTATACAGCGTATCGCGCCGCCACGACAGCTGATTGGCTAATATCTGCTTTCAGAAAACGAATGTATAATGACGTAGCCAATCAGCAACAAGTAATTTCAGAGTGACCAATGGGAGCGGTTAAGGTGTAGAAATTCATGAAAATACGACGGCAACAGCAATACCCACATGATCTAACACTTCACTATTATACCTTGGACAATGTCTATCATAGGAATGAAACCTACACTTTGTCTACGTTTAATGGCATCATGACGACATTTCAGACATGTTAGTACTATTTAGTACGATGCAGTATTCCCTAATTAATATACTAACAGGACAATAATATCTATGTACTACAGTACTGTATTAATATACATACAGTAGTACTATTAATACTAGTACTAACCAGGAGCTTTAATTTCTACTCTACTTAATCTTTTTGATTTAATTTTACCTTTTCCATCAATAGGTTGACCTAGTGTAGCCCAACCCATAAGGGCAACAAGTTTTATTTATTTTTTAAATTTAGCAATAGCTCGCCGTTACTACAGTTCCAACTCTTGCGTTTAATGCCAACACCACGTGGTACTGGGTAAGTACGACAACAGTGTTGATGCACGGCGCGTCAAGGCAGCAACGACAGCAACCCACACGGCAGTGGTCGAGTCCATCACGTCACATTGAAAAGTTGGAATCAGATTGGGATCAATGATTGGATAGTGAGGCATCCATTATTAGCCAGTCAGTGGGGAAATAGCTGAGGTGCCCAAACTATTAATAGTGAAAAATGGATTTTTTGGAATGAGTTGGGGAGCGTTTTGATTGGATAATGCCCATTTTGAAAATTATTATAGTACTTTAGAGCTTTTTCCAAGTACTTTAGAGCTTTTTCCAAGTACTTTAAAGCCTTTTCCAAGTACTCTAGAGCCTTCTCCAAATACTTTCTACCGGTACAGTAGTTAAGTTTGTAGTCCTGACAGGGTAGGAATGAAAGAGGCAGTTTCATTCCAACCCATTTCTAGTAGTACTAGTTCAAATGTCTCCTCAGTTGCATGGATACACTGTACTGTACTGTATGTGCTACAGTTTTGGTTAGTATTACTAATTTGAGAAGTTGGAAAAAGGCAACCAACGTCCGTCGACAGTGGTAGGTAGGCGGCATCATCGTCTAAGGTACTTCGTCCAGGCGGGGAATACATGGAGGACGTTGACATGAAGGACGATCGCCACGACGGGTCGTTCTCTTCGCTGCATATCACGACTTCGAGCCACAGCAGCGAGGCCATCGATACCGGGACCCCCACCACCGAGTATTGGAAACAGGTGCGCGCAGTCTGCCTCCATGATAGCTCACTTCCGTCACCTGCATCACTCCTCTTTGTGGCACTAGCATGGCGCGTTGAAAGCTTCGTACCTTGACGAAGTGAACGCGGTGTACAACGACTTCCGTGCGCTCATCATGGACAGTTCATCGGATGAGTCGGCGGAAAGGCAGCAGCAGCTCGAGTACTACATGGAGTTTGTCGCATTCTGCAAGCTTGTCTTGGACGAGTCGGCCGCTTCGCAGGACGCGATTCGCCCGTGGGAAGACCTGGCCCGGGTTCGAAAGTACATTCAGTTGGTGGTGACGCCCTACATGGCCAAGATGGCCCCACCTTCAGCAGCAACTTCGACAGCAACACAAGGAACGAACCGACACGAACTAGACAACTCGAACGTCCATGTGGCGTGGACAGGGCGGCGTCACAACTCGTCCCGCGGCGGTCGGCCTGCCATCGACCGCTCCGTCGGCGGGGTTCCTGCAAGCTACATGAATCATCACCATGCGTCATCGTCCTCTGTGACTTCTCCTCTGGGCGGGAGATCGTCTCAAGTGTCGATGGAATCCGACGACGTGGACACACAGTCGTCTGCTGGGGGAGGGAATGCGACCGAATACTGGCGCCAGGTAGTACTACTACAGCTTATTTGATGCGATGGTTGTTGGTATGTCCATACATATTACATAGGATGTGACTTGCGTTTTCCGAATAATATATATATATATATATCTAGCATGTTTCCGCAGTGGATATGGTCCTTTCGGTCAAACTTTGGATAATATTCGTGCAGATATATGCACCAAAAATCCACATCGGTCGATCTTAATATAAGCAGGCACAACCCTATTGTGGACTAGAATTTGATTGGATACTGGACTCGTATTCTGCTTTTCCATTGGTTACTGGATTCGTGTTGTGCGCTTTGATTGGCCGATTTGGTGCTGCTCATTCGATTGAGAGTATCGAAACACCGAAACAACGAACTCTCTAATTTCGAAAGTATTATACTATGATCCGAATAATAGAATATACCATATATCGATACTGTTCAAGTATCCACTACTCATCATTATTTTTTTTGTATCAACCATCATACTGTAGCATACTGCATTGAAAGCAGCCCATTTCGAAACCTGCGCCGCCGTGTACCATGCATTTCAGCACTTTTTGACGAGCCAGCCAGTCGACTTAGCGTCGCCGCAGCGCCAAAAGCTCTTGTATTTGCTCGGGTTTATCGAATTTTGCTGCCAAGTGCTCAGTGAGTCGAGTGCCACGCACAGCGCGCGCGCCATGTCCGATTTGAAGCGCGTGGTCAAGTCTATCAACAAGATTGTGACGCCATATAGACACAAAATTGCAAGTGAACAACCACCGTCGAAAAATCCACCCCAGTGTTTGAATAACCACAAGGATCAGTACCATCACAACCCTAACCACAACCTCCCTCTATCCGTGTCGACAGCTCACCCCGCCAAAATCTTGCCCTCTGTACAAGACCTACTGAATGGAACGACCTCCAACACCAATCTCAGCCGTACCAGCATCGACTCGACCCAGCAATATACTTCGTCGGCTGTTGTCGACAGGAATGGGGGGCCCCATCCTCATGGAGGTGGTGCCGATGCCGCAGATGAGTACTGGCACCACGTACGTTTGTCCTATTGCCGTTGGACATATTTGTGGACTTTTTTGTGTGGATGAGTTGCCAAATTGATTGATATCGATTTTGTGTCGTGAATTTTGTGTGTATTAGAGCATTGTCCGGTGGCGATTGGAATCACACTAATTAAAACTCGTACACGAATGGAATGTTTGACGATGGTTTCCTGCAATCGGGTCGATTCTACTTCTACCGATTTTCTTCGGGACATTTAGTTTATGGATTGATTTATACAGGGTATTCAAATATATATATATATATATATATATTATTTCATGATGTGATATTGTTTTTGGTTTACCATGCCTACTCTCAATGTGTGTTGTTCTATTAAAAAAAAGTCCTCTCGCGATTGGTTTGGACTACCAATCATCAACCGACCTGCGAAATATGATAACATATCGAATTTAAGAGGTATCTTTGTCCAATTTGCATAACGGCATTCATGTCGTTTTAGCCAGAATATGAATGCTCCCTTTTTCATCGTTTAGCCAATATCATAACTGTGTTGCTCGATTTCAAGAGTCGCCCAAACTTGGCTAATTTGGGTGAAAAAGAACAATCCTCTATGCCTTGAATTGAGTACGACATTGATATAATATAGGTATCCCAGCTCAAATCGACATATTTGAGTCAAGTGGTTGCGGCCCACACGTTTTTTGATGCATATTTACATCAAGATGCAGCCCATCACTCTCAGGTAAATATATATATGTATATATATATTTATATATATATCCTACTATATAATACCAAGCACACATTGGAAAGCCTGTCCAAATCATATCGTGTTCTAGTTGCATATCTATTCGTGCTGTGATTGTTCCAACACTCTTTGTGTTTTTCCCTTTTACGTGTTTGGCTATATATATATATATAATATATTTCCACGTCGATGGTTTATCTGTTTATGATTATTTTCAATCGTGCATCATCCGTACATGCACTTGATGGTGATGATTTCGTGTAGGAACACCTCCAAGACGTGGAGCATCTATGCGATTATGCTGCATATTGCCGCCAAGTTTTGACCGAAGTCCAGCCGTCACCCAGTCGCACCCTGCAGGAACTGCATCACGTGCATACGTACATTACGACGCTGGTGCTGCCCCACTTTGCATCGCTCCAAGCCGACACCGTCCAGCAGCAGCAGCAGCCTCCAGGACAACCCAAGACAAGCGAGGAAGCAGTGGCCCTGGAGACACATCACCGCCAAACCAACCAGCACACTGACTTATTTCTACAATCGATCGACCACCAGCAGCAGCATCCACCTTGTAGGCCCGATAACAAGGACACCGTGGGGTCTCGCGCGTCCACGTTCGAGTCTTCGACGTTCTATGGTGTTGGTGCTACCTCGACGTATTGGCGCAAGGTACTGCGAAATAGGATATATGTGTTGTGACAGGAATATAGAATTGGATGGATATTGTACTAGAGATGTGGAGGTTTTGTGGCCTTATTTTTGTTTCGACGAGTGTATATCGATCGATTGTTTGTACGGTGAATGTTGTACGTCGAGAATAATCGTTGTGTCCTGGGGGTATCAACGCATTGATTCATGGCATTTATATATATATATATATATATATACACGAATGAAATGATGGTTTTTTTTTCTACCATTTGATTGGCCCGATTTTACAATGTACGTACATAATATATTGGTTGTGTCGCTCCAATTTAGAATAAACAACCACAACCCATATCAAGTTGTTGCGAGTGTATGAAAACGTGTTTGACCGATTGTACTTTGTTTATGTACTGGCCTTTCAACCAACAATTGGACGTTTGTGCTGATTCCCATCACATGAATATAACTCATTTCAGTCACACACTAATTCGAGGTTGATGATTTCCTGCAGTCTGATTGGCTAAATACTGGATTCATCTGCGCATTTAATTGTGTCGATGCATTCGGCACGTAGTTTGGAAATATATAAACACAACCATATATCGTGATAGACGCTGTAGTACGGATTATTATCATGGACATGGTGTCCTATATAGGCGGTGTGTTTTGTAAAGTCTTTTGAATCTTATATAAATGTCGTCATCCATACCTTGCGTGTTATGAACGTTCATATGAATGTGTCATGATTCAGCATGTCACAAATATATATATATTACGCGCTCATAAAACATGAATATCCGTCGTCGTCCTATTATTCAATGGAGAGGGGTTGAAAGATATATTTTTTTATTTTACTTGTGCACTGCGTAGCACGCCGCGCTGAAAGAACTCTACAGTGACAAAGTAATCCTAGTTCAAACTGCCTTTCGAAAGTACGCGTCCGAGTTTGCCCATGCCAAATCTGCTGCCGAGGTACCCTTCTTTCTGATGTAGTTGGCCTGTTTAACTACATTTGTGTATATTAAAGATATATATAATGGTTGGAAATATATATTTTTTGTTGTTGTTGTGGCTAATATAATACCCCAGGCAAGAAAATTGACACGGCTGTACGAAATGCTCGAATCTGTCGAGTTTTGTGCCAAAGTATTTGACGAACAAGCTGTATGTGACCCCGCACGAGACCTCGACAGCCTTGAGACCATCCACCGATGCATCATACAGATTGTGAGCCCATATTGCCAACAGGTCGAAGCAGAAGCCGCGAGGGCGTGAGCCCAATCGAAGTGACGTGGCAGTAGAATTCCTTGTCAATAGAGGCATCTTGTTCAGGGAAGGCAGTGACGTACAGTAATATTGGAGCTTTGCCAAGGTGTCCTACAGCTCAGGAATACCATAGTAGCTGTAAATGTACACACGATTACATCCAATGCATAATAGTGTTGTGTTTATTCGTATATATAACTGGACCGCATCGGCAGAAGTATTGAGCCAATCACGTTGCACGAAACATCAGAGTGTGTGTGACTTCAATTAGTGTGATTACAATCAACTATTTTCACACAAAATCCAGTATATTTAGCGAATATCAGCCCACAAGTCCTAGTGGTGACACCTTCTCTTTGGTGGAAGTATAGTATTATACCATATGGTACTATGTACCAGTCATATTTATATAAATATCAGAGAATCCGCCAAGATATCTCGTGATTGGCTATTTAAAATGTGTGCCTGCAATCTCATTCGTTGATTTTGAATGAGTATTAACCAATCCGAATCCGCAATGTATTCGGATAGTGATAGTATTATCCGTATATTGTTGGCATTGGATTTGAACAACGACGGCAACATGACAGCGTACGAGGCGCCGGAATGGGCGTTGAATGGGTCGAATCGCTTTGGCTTGTCGATGGAGGTGATCAAGGGAGGCATCATCCTGGAGAAGGTAGAGCTGGTGACGTCATCCAAGTCGTACTTCGTCGCAGGTACGCCAAGAACCTCCTCAACTCTCGTCCCACACGTCGAGGCAGGACGCATGGAGCCGCTTTGCGACATCGTGCTGCAACATCCATCAGTATCCCGCACGCATGCCGCTCTACAATTCGATGCCAAGGGTATACATTCGTGCACCTTCCCGCCTGTCTCCCTGCGACCAACAACATGTTGTCCTGCCTGTAGGCCAGCTCTTCCTCGTGGACCTGGGCAGTACCCATGGCACATTCGTCAACAAGAAACGCATTTCCGCAGCAGACCACATTGAGCTCCACGTCGGGGACGTCGTCGTGTTTGGCGAGTCGACGCGCATCTACACGATCTTGGGTCCGGTCGACCTCATGCCCGACGAATACTCGTACTTTCCTTCGCGTTCATCCCAACATATACTGACTTTACCCGTACTTTTTTCTTCCTTTCTAGCTCGGACAATTTGGCCAAGCTGCGAAGCAAGGTACGAGGAACGAATATTCGCATTGGTCAACTATATCTTTTTTTTAAATATTCATGTATTTTTTTGCTATTTCCTACGTTTTCGACTACTATATATATATATATATGTGTGTTCGAAGGATACCTTTATTTTTTATTGTTTTTTTTAATGTACAGTGAACGAGGGAATTTTTAAGCCACACCCAACTTCGTGTGAATATTGTTGTACTTAACCAATCAGAATCATGGATTTCAAAACGTTGGTTGGTTTAATTTGTCGAAATAATCAAAATTGACCAATCAGATTTCAATATTTTACTTCGATTCAAAGTGTGGCTTAAATTCCCTCGTTCACTGTAGTGTCTATTCGTGTTTCGATATGATAGCTTTGATCGTGTGTTCCATCTACCCATCCAAGTAAGTTGATGTCCATGTTGTTTCTTGGCAGTTGGAAGCGCGGAAAGCGCGGCGCCTTGAACAGCAGAAAGACGTGGACGAAGAAGGGGCTTCTTGGGGGTTCCGTGAAGACGCCGTCGAAGAAGACGATAGCGAACACAGCGACGACAGTGACAACGACACGTTCAGTACTAGTACAACCAACAAAGCGAGCTCCAAACCCAACGTCCCCCTGCCCGACTACCTGCGCAATGTACGCCATATATATATATATATATATATATATCTTCCTTTGTGATCTATATCACGTACTACTTCATTGAATGGTGTGTTGCAGTACACAAACTTGATATTGTGCGGATATATTATTTGCTAAAATATGTCGTCGTTATATATATCGTGCATATTTCACCGAAATTTGGACTTGTGCTTTCGCCAAATAGCATTCGAATCCATTTGATCTATTTTAAGGTTGTACAAACTATACTATACAAAGAGTAGGACATATGGTTTTGCCCAATGGGCTGAATCAAACGTTTATTGGCAGAAATTCGACATGACGTGATTTGATTGGCTTAGGCGGTTCTTTCATCCATTCTCTTAAGACATTTGATTCAGCTGAGGGCTCCAGTTTCGAATCGATTTAACAATATATAGAACGAAGAATATCCTACATTTCTGATCCATTGCAATCAATCGATATATATATATATATATATATATATATATATATATATATATACATATATCCTAATCCATTCTCTGAAGACATTCGATTCAGCTGAGGGCTTCTGTTTCGATTCGATTTGACAATATATATAACAAAGAATATCCTACATTTCTGATCCATTGCAATCAATCGATATATATATATATATATATATATCCAACATTTCTGATCGATGTCTATTGCAATCAATTGATATTTATATATATAGGTATGTCCTATATTTCGGATCGATATCAATCGTATGGTCGTGGCAGATGCACACTCTGACCTACTGGGTCTTGATCTTTGTAGCGAAAAGACGATACATCAGGGCCGTACGTGTCGAGTGTGACCAAGGACACCGTCAACTTGACAAAAGATTCGAAGTTATACACCCGACTGCAAAATCGCATCCAAAAGCTGGAAAACTTGAAACTCGAGAGCAGCCGCATCCGAGCCAAGCAAAACGTCGGGCTCACCGACGGCCAAGAGGCTGCTCTGGGTACGTTGTTTGTGGGTGTACGACCTCGAGCTCGGCTCTTGGACGACCCCCCCTCCCTACTGTTTTTCATGTGTTGAAGGAATTCATCCATATATCTATGTCTATATATTATTACTGTATGATACCTAACAGATTGCAAATTGTACGATCTACTCAGTCCATAAGTGGATGTGATGTTATGTTGTGAACGTTTGATAACTTGCATTGATATCCAATGGCCATTGCAAGAGTATTTGACTCAAGAGAATTTGAAATCATATCATCAAACAACACTTGATGCCTATATATATATATATATATATATATCTTCTAATGGGATTGTAGCTCGAAACGACACTCGCACCCAAGAACTTCAAGATGAAATCGAAATGCTCGAGGCCCAACTCTTGGCCAAACATACGCAACGCACGACGCAAAAGGAAGTTGCGGCCGTTGTGGGTATGTCTTCACCAAATATATATATATTTATATCGCGGGAAAGAGATATTTCGATTCCAAGATTATTTTCTAATTCTCGACCTACTGACTACCAGCGCATATGTCTTCACCAATATATATCACAGGAAATATATATTTTGATTCGAATGACTAGTTTATGATTCTCGACCTTCTGACTACTACGTATTATACTTGTTCGATTTCGTTTATGCTGCCCTCATTGTATCCTCGGGTGATGGGCTACAAAAAACTATAAATTAATCATATATATTTATATGACATGTGCTATAAAAATGTATATAGATAATTACATATGCATATATTCTTATGCACGACAATACATACATAGCCAAATCGAAAAAATCGAGCGCGACCAAAGCCAAAATGTATGACAGCGACGACGACGACTTCTACGACCGTACAAAGAACCACGTCGCAGCCAGCACTTCCCACCACCCACCACCGAAACAAGTGCTGACATTTGCGACCCTTTCCACGACATTGGCAGGTCTTCGCGCCGATTTAAAACTGCTCGATGCACAGACTGCCACGTCATCGTTGTCCAGGTACAGCTTATTTCCAGTGTAAAGAAATATATATATATTTATATATAATCTACTGCCAAACCACCCATGGGCGACTGTGGCATTGTTGTTGCCCAACATGTATTCACTTTCTTGACAATACAACG